GGGATGCAGGACAGACTTGGTCCAGTTCCCCCCCCCCAATGGAACTGGAACCACAGCAATACATACAACAATCTCAGTGTATTTAAGAAAATAAAGACACCCCCCAATAGCCTGGGATTCTCCAGCCCTCCTGACCGCCCCCCCCCCAGTGTAGCCAGAGGGCAAACAAATATGAAGAGGGTCTTCCAGTACTCACGCCTCAACATCTGGAAACAGCTCCAGTTTGCTGGGGAAGATTTCTGAGAGGAGAAGCCGGACGTAGGGACGCCCTGCCGCCTGCAGGCTCGACTCCAGGTGCTGCAAAAAAGGAGAGGGGGCTGACTCTGGGGACCCTCGCTGCCGCCTCCTTGGGCAGGGAGCTTCGCAGTGGGGGCCACTTGCCAGAAGGGGAGATTCCCACGAAGGCTTTCCCCAAACGAAGTGGGGAGATCAGGGGAGGGGGGAGCTCCTTGCCCTCGCTCTGGGGGGACCTGCCCAGATCACCTTCCTCGCTGGAGCCGGTCAGGGTCTCCTCAGAGCCTGCCCTGGCGGCCTCCCGGGGGTCTTCCAGGACGGGACCCCAAATCGGGCTGCCTCCCCACCCAGCCCCCCCCTTCTGAAGCAGGGAAGGCCGAAGGGGAAGAAGGAGCCCAGGAGCCACAGGCTGCAGCCAATCCGAGGGCCTCGCGTCCGCCAGGCGCAGCCCTGCCCGGTCCAGCAGCTCCAGGTGCTGCCAGGCCTGGCCAGAGGACTCACCTGCAGGATGGCCGGAGACCCCTGCCGTCCCAGGGTGCCCAGGATGAGGCCCCACTTGTGGGCACGGGCCGCCCGGTGGATGGCTGCCTTCCGCGACTCCTGCATGCGCTCGTGGGCGTAGAGCTCCTGGGAGAAGGCCTTGCTGTACGGATCGTACCTGAGGGAGGAGCGCAAGGAGGGGGCCCTGAGTGGGCAGCAGCCAAGCCCTGGATTCCCCAAGGCCTGGCCCAAGGTCAGGAGTGCGAGTACAACGGTTCTCGTAAAGATGGCACTGAAAAAAGTGACTTATGACCGATTTTCACACTTATAACCGTTGTCGTATTCCCAGGGTCACGTGATCAAAATCCAGACACTTGGCCACTGACTCACGTTTACGACGGTCGCAGGGGTCGTGTGATCCCCTTTTGCCCCCTCCTGACCAGCAAAGTCACCGTGGAAGCCAGATTCACTTAACAACTGTGTTACTAACGACTGCAGTTATTCGTATAACAACTGTGGCAAGGAAGGTCGTACAATGGGGCAAAACTCACTGAACGACTGTCTCGCACACCAATAGAACTTTTGGGCTCCGTTGTGGTTGTGAGTCGAGGAATACCCGTGGCTCCCTGGGACAAGGGAACGGAGTGGCAGGGCCACCCTTGAGGTCATCATGGCTCGCCCTTCCTCTCAGGGCAGCTAACCCTGGCTGGAAGCCTCCAGGCGCTGGTTCTTGGCCAGAAGGGCCACGGTTAGGATTCCTGCCCTTCCGGTGCCTTCCATTTTTATCTCGGGCCCTGCATTCACAAGGCCCTCCGTCTCCCAGGGGCCCTCCAAGCCCCCTCAGAGCCGCTTCTGCTTCCTGAATCTTCCTCACGGCTCTTTCCTGAACCGGTTCCTAACTGAACCCGTCTTTGAGGTGGTGCCCAGACTGGCCCCAGGCCACACTGGCCCAACCAAGGCAGACCACAACTCCTTGCCCAGACCCTTCAAGAATCTCCGTGGCGTCTTCCCTGAAGCCACACAGGAAGGGTTGGCAACGGCCTTCTTACAGAGGCCTTCTGAATTCCTAGGACTCCCCCGTGCCAGGAGTAACAAACCAGACCCTGCTTAGCTTTCGAGTGGGATGTGTGTGTCCAAGGTTGGCCACTTTAAGACTTGTGGACTTCAACTCCCAGAATTCCCCAGCCAGCTGAACCAGGGGTGTCCAAGCATGGCCACTTTAAGACCTTGGATTTTTAACTCCCAGAATTCCCCAGCCAGCTAGACCAGGGATGTCCAAGCATGGCCACTTTAAGACCTTGGACTTTAACTCCGAGAATTCCCCAGCCAGCTGGACCAGGGGTGTCCAAGCATGGCCACTTTAAGACCTTGGATTTTTAACTCCCAGAATTCCCCAGCCAGCTGGACCAGGGGTGTCCAAGCATGGCCACTTTAAGACCTTGGACTTCAACTCCCAGAATTCCCCAGCCAGCAAGAATTCTGGGAGTTGAAGTCCACAAGTCTTCAGGCTGCCAATGCTGAACACCGCTGCTTTAGAGCCACGAGCCACAAAAGCCGGGAAGGCGGGAGAGGGTGGACACAGCCCCTGCCTGTAATCACAGAGCTGGACGGTGCCACTGGAGTCACCAAATTAAAGCCTCTGCTGGACAGAAATTTTGCGGTAATGCAGTTTAAAAAACACATTTTTTTTTTGCAGTTACATTACACTGGTAACAACCCACATTCAGCGTGTAATTAACTATTTCAAAATAATACAATCTCGTTTTTTTGCGTCAGCCCCGAGCCTGATAAGCAGTTCCTCAATTTTTTTTTGCCCGAGTCACTAAAAAAGATGCTGAGAAAGTCGGACCCATCGAAGGCCTCGGGCTAGGAACGTCCCTCTCTAGCAAGAGTGCCTCACATCCCCTGCTCCCATCAGGCCCTAACTGGGTCACTCCCCTCCCCGGGTTTTAAGGGGGGGAGGCGTTTTTCGGCTGTTCTCGGGATAAGCGGAGAACTGGGGTCCGTGCGTGATCCACTCCAGCAGCATTCGCAACCTCAGCAACTTTCAGATGCATGGACCAAGTCCTAAATTCCCCTTTTGGCTGTGGAATTCTGGGAGTTGAAGTCCACCCAAACAGTAACAAGAGTTGAAAGGGACCTTGGAGGTCTTCTAGTCCAACCCCCTGGTCAAGCAGGAGAACCCATACCATTCCAGACAGATGGCTGTCCAATTTCTTCTTGAAAACCTCCAGAAGTGATGGAGCACCCACGACTTCTGGAGGCAGGTTGTTCCACTGGTTAATTGTTCTCACTGTCAGGAAGTTTCTCCTTAGTTCCAGGTTGCTTCTCTCCTTGATTAGTTTTCATCTATTTTGCTTCTTGTCCTGCCTTCAGGCGCTTTGGAGAATAGCTTGACTCCCTCTTCTTTGGGGCAGCCCCTGAGATACTGGACCACTGCTATCCTGTCACCCCTAGTCCTTCTTTTCACTAGACCACGGGTAGGCAACCTTGGCCCTTTTATGACTGGTGGACTTCAACTCCCAGAATTCCTGAGCCAGCCACTCTGAGGGGAAAGGGAGAGGTTTCCAAGCTGAGCCATGTTGGCTCAGGAATTCTGGGAGTTGAAGTCCACGCGTCATAAAAGAGCCCAGGTTGCCTACCCCTGGCCTAGACCTCCCCAAATCCTGCAACCGTTCTTTGTATGTTTTAGCCTCCAGTCCCCTAATCATCTTTGTTGCTCTTCTCTGCACTCTTTCTAGAGTCTCAGCATCTTTTTAAAAATATGGTGACCAAAACTGGATACCCTGTCCTAGGAAATCTCTGGCAGATGACCATCCAGCGTCCGTCTGAAGTCCTCTAGTGCAGGGGTCCCCAAACTGTGGGCCACGGCCCACTACTGGGCTCTGGTCTACTGGCCACTGGGACACGGAACAGGCAGGTCAGCTAGCGCTGCCGCCGCTACGCAGGACACCACAGTGCTAGTGAGTGTCACGCGAGTGCTAGCACCCCCCCCATTTGCATCGTGCGTGCTTGCAGCCCCATTTGTGTGTCTGTGCGTGGATGTAAAATGCTTCCCCCTCCCATTCCCTCCGGTCCACCAACCGAGAAAGGTTGGAGACCCCTGCTCTAGTGAAGGAAGTCTCCCCTTCAGCCCAGTCTGGAAATTAGTTGCTCCTGGTGCTGAGCCTTTGGTTGGGCCCCTGGTTCTGCTCCTGCTCTCAGGGGCCACAGAGAACAACCCCCCCGAGCAGTAGCTCTTCTGAGGATTGAAGACTCTCAACCTGATTTGTCTCAGACTTTTTTCTGCAGGCGAAACGTAGCTGAGTCCTCATCCTTCTAGGGCAGGGGTCTTCAAACTTGGCCCTTTTATGATTTGTGGACTTCAACTCCCAGAATTCCTCAGCCAGGATGCTTTAAGACAGGGGTCTTCCAACTTGGCCCTTTTATGACTTGTGGACTTCAACTCCCAGAATTCCTCAGCCAGGCACGCGTGCCTGGCTGAGGAATTCTGGGAGTTGAAGTCCACAAGTCATAAAAGGGCCAAGTTTGAAGACTCCTGTTCTAGCGTGTTCACCATCCTGACAACCCTCCTGAGCATCGACTGCCATCATCCCCGTCCTATCTGGGAGGCGGTCCCCAGAACTGCCCCCAGGACCCCAAATAAGACTCCATGTTTTCATGTGAAGCCCCTTTTACTGCCTTCCTGGGCTACTGCTTTTGAAAGACCCCATTTCTTGCTCCCCAGGACAGGAAAACATCCCACCAATCTGTGGCAGTTCTGGTGAGAAAGGCTGGGGGGGGGAGGGCTGTGTCTGCCCACCCTGTTGTGGCAGACCCAAGACACAGGCCCTCATTCAGGGTTGGAGATCCCCGGGTGACCCACTCCCTGTCCATCAGTGTCCCCTCCCCACACACACACAGCAGAAGCATCTGGGTCTGTTCCAGAGATGCACGCTCAAGTGGGCCTCCCCCCGCCGGGAAACAAAAGGGGCAGGGAGGGCTCTGGGCCCCCGGGGAAAGCAGACATGGCTTCCCTTTCAACTCTCATCTTCACCCCACTGAAGAACCCTGTGTCCCCCCCATCCCCCCCCCACTGTTGCCCTCTAGCCGCAGCCTGCCTGTGGCCTGGCATCCCTTCTGCCCGTGGGGTGGGAGTGCGCCAGAGGGCAGCCCAGGCCCCGAGTGGGCTGGCTTCCGAGGGGAAACCCTCTCGGCTGTCCGGCCCCACCCTCTCCCGGCCGTGAAGATACCTGTAGGCGGGAATGCCGGGGTTGGCGATCATGATGGACTCCAGGTGGAAGCGCCCGTCTCCCAGGTAGCTGCAACAGAGAGGGGAGGTCAGCAAAATGGGGGGGTGGGGGTGGAGTGGGGAGGAATCTTTGTAGGGGCCAAGAACCAGGGGGAGCCTTGCAAAAAGGGTGGGTAGGTTATGAACCCTTGGCCACCCCAGCAGTTCAAAAGCATGCAAGTGGAAATACAGGCAGTCCTCAACTTACAACAATTCCATTTAGTGACCGTTCAAAGTTACAACAGCACTGAAAAAATGACCTGTTTTCCACACTTTACAACCGTTGCAGACGCTTGGCAACAGACTCGTATTTATGACGGTCGCAGCATCCTGGGGGGGGGGGTCACGCCATCCCCTTTGCCACCTTCTGACCGGCAAAGTCCATGAGGAAGCCAGATCCACTTAACAACCGTGTCGCTAACTGAGCAACCGCGGTGATTCACTCTGGCAAGAAAGGTCGTAAACTGGGGCAAAACCCACTTAAGAACCACCTTGCTTAGCGACAGAAATTTTGGGCTGAACTGTGGTTGTAAGTCGAGGACTCCCTGTAGATAAATAGGCACCCCTTCAGTGGGAAGGCAACCGCGTTCTGCGTGCCTTGGCATGCACTCATGCCGGCCACGTGAGACCACGGAAGCATCTTCAGGCCCCAGGACAATTGTGGCCCTCCCCCGGCTAAGAAAGGGGGTGAACAGCGCCCCCTGGAGGCAGACAGGGGGAAACCTTTATCCTTTTTTTAAAATGTACTACTACAGTATTTGCACCCAGACTCCTGAAGGCTCCTGGGTCACGTTCTCATTGGGCAGGGGTAGGCAACCTTGGCTCTTTTATGACTCGTGGACTTCAACTCCCAGAATTCCTGAGCCAGCTATGCAGGGGTAGGCAACCTTGGCTCTTTTATGACTCGTGGACTTCAACTCCCAGAATTCCTGAGCCAGCTATGCAGGGGTAGGCAACCTTGGCTCTTTTATGACTCGTGGACTTCAACTCCCAGAATTCCTGAGCCAGCTCTGCTGGCTCAGGAATTCTGGGAGTTGAAGTCCACGAGTCATAAAAGAGCCAAGGTTGCCTACCCCTGTCCTTGGGCATCAACATTTTCTCCCAGATCAAGGCTCTGTGGGGCTCACTTCTGGCCACTGAAGCCCCTTCCTCAAATTTGGCCTCATCCCCGATCCACCGCCCAAGGACACTCTGGATCGGACTCTGCTTAGCTTCCCCAAGACCACCCAGATCGGCCAAATTCTGCCATCCAGCTACACAAGACCGGACTGAACTCCTGCTTAACACGTAGGGCACAAGATCCCTGCTCTACGTGAGGATCTGGTAAAGCCTCTGTTTGCTTTTATAGATCTCTAATTTACTCCAACCGTCCCCCCCTCCCTTGCGGGGGGATAAGCAGGCGTCCCCAAACTCAACCCGCAGGCAGGTAAATGACCGTACGAGGCCTCCCTTTGCCTGGTTAATGGGGAGCTCCGTGGAACAAACACGTAGCTTTAACAAAAAAAGCAACCATAAACTGGAAAATAAGACAAAGCAGCTGTTTATCCACTTATTTATGGGGCAGCTGACACACACACACACACACACACACACACACCCTGCTGCTGAAGAGGGCAATTCCAACAGACACACACAAAAAAAGTATTTTCTTTCTTTCTTTCTACACTAGGGATGTTGGCCACTTTAAGACCTGCGGCCTTCAACGGGTGGGGGATTCTGGGAGTGGAAGTCCACAGGGGGCCATCGCTGGACTCCCCTGCTCTACCTCAAACACCCAGCTTTTGCAGCAAGATGACCCTCACCAGCCTCCACCCCAAGCCCCCCTCTGGGACGAGGGAAAGCAAGGAACCTCTCGGCACCTCCGAGGGCTTTGCGGCACCACGAAAAGCAGCAGCAGCAGCGGGACCGAGCACGGGGGTGTATGGTGCTGGGTTTGGGTGGGGGGGGACACGTCCAGGTCTCCATTTGAAATCATGCATCAAGTCAGCCATTACCCTGCCAGCTCCTTCATTTGGTTGCCCCTAACGAAGTCGGAAAACGGATCAGACGGAAAACCTGACCAGGTTTGGGCCTTAACTGGAGAGCCACATTCTGGAGGGTCAAAGCCAATTTGGCCATTTGGTGAAAGCTGCCCTGAGGTGGCTGATAGCCGGGGCAGAGCAGATGGCAGCGCCCAGCCTGGCACCCCACTCCTCCTTCCAGTGGACAGCCCCCCACCCCGGTCTCTGGAAGCAGCACCCCCAGGGTTTCCAGGACTGGGAATGTGCGAAACCATCCCAGTTGGCACACCGACTCAGCCGCTGCCGAGACCATCGCCAGGAGTCCGGCTGGACCTGGAGACGCGTCTTTGGGCAAGAAGATAAAGCTGCCTGTGGCTCAGTTGCATTTGCTTCATCTGGGGGGGGGGGGAAGGAGGGGGGGGGCTGAGCAGGTGGCTCTGACCTGAGCTGAGCACCCAGCAGGTCTCCCACCTGCAGGGTCTGCCCTCCCGCTCCAGCAGCTCTCCTGCCCCCCCCCACAGCATCCCTGGGGGCCTTTAGCAGCCCGGTCTTGGTGGGCTCACCCCCTTCAGCCATGCAGAGTCCCAGGAAGGAGCAGGAGACCTGCAGATGGGAGGATAAACTCCAGATCCAGCAGAGAAGGCAGGCTACGGGTCCCTTTATCAGCCCAGAGGGACCTTTTCTGGGTTGGCCCCCACCCCCTGGGGACTTCTCCCCTTTGAGGTGAGGTTGGAGTCGTCTCTGTTGAGTCTCTAGGGGTCCCTCAAGGCCTGGTTAGGCCAGCAGGCCTGGGGGTCCCAGGTGGACCAGGGAGGTGGCTCCACAACTGTTAACATCTTTTAGTCTATTATTTCTTTTAGTTTGGTTTTTATACTTTTTTATCTATTTATTAACTGTGTTTGTTATATGCTGCCCAAAGATGCTTGCTTGTGAGATGGGCAGCTATATAAATTGAGAAAGAAAGAAAGAAAGAAAGAAAGAAAGAAAGAAAGAGAGAGAGAGAGAGAGAGAGAGAGAGAGAGAGAGAGAGAGAGAGAGAGGAAGGAAGGAAGGAAGGAAGGAAGGAAGGAAGGAAGGAAGGAAAGAAAGAAAGAAAGGAAAAGAAAGAAAGAGGAAGGAAGGAAGGAAGGAAGGAAGGAAGGAAGGAAGGAAGGAAGGAAGGAAGGAAAAAAGGAAGGAAAGAAAAAAGAGAGGAAGGAAGGAAAGAAAGAAAAAGAAAGAGGAAGGAAGGAAGGAGAGGGAGGAAGGAAGGAAGGAAGGGAGGAAGGAAAGAAGGAAGGAAAAGAAAGAAAGAGGAAGGAAGGAAGGAAGGAAGGAAGGAAAAAAGGAAGGAAAGAAAAAAGAGAGGAAGGAAGGAAAGAAAGAAAAAGAAAGAGGAAGGAA